ATTTATAATAGAGTAGTTTGATCCTTTGTTAGTGATTTTTCATGGACAACCTTAGGTTATAGTCTAATTTGAAGTTACAAGATTTGTTTCTGCCATAGGTATGGACAGGTAGTCACATTCCTTCTAGAAGACAAGAGTCCCTGGGAGGTAAATTCCTTCGCTCTCTAGACTGTTTTCTTTCTTTTTATTTTACCGGGGAATTAGGTTGGGTCCCTTCCAATAGCAGGGAATAGGGAAAGGGAAGTTGGCAAAGAGATGTAGAACTGTCCAAGTCATTCCTGGGACGTGGGATGGAAGCAGATTCTTCTGTTGGCAGGTGAGGTAGACAGTGACTTGGCTGGCAACAGCTCTGGCTGCAACTTAACTACTTCAAAAACATTGCTACTTTCAGTTCTGGCTTAGTAAACTTTTGGTGTTTTGATGGATTTTGATCAAAATTTTTTTTTTGCTACTTTCTCCTATGCATTCTGTAGTCTGATAATGACCTTCTTGCATTTGCCAGAATGTGTGTGTTTTATTTGCTTTCTCCTGCTTGTATGCTCTGGATAAGCCTGGACTCTCCTTTCCTCCCTTGCTAACTTGGTGAATTTCTTCTTTCCTTAACTATTTAATTAACCCCTCTTGAAACCTACCTTTTTATCCTCCCTTCACCTACTGCATTCCTTTAACAGCATTATTATGGCACTTACTATATTGTAGTTTATGCATTGGCTCATTGTTTGGGGTTTTTCTTGTACTAGGCTGTGAGCTCCTTTGGAATGGGGTGTTCTTGTTTATTGAAAACTGTGAGCTACATTATTTTGGTATAGTTTGGAGATTCAAGTCCCAGAGAGTACAGGACATTTTATAAGGATATGTGAATAGAGTCTGTCTCAAAAAATACACTTTTTTGATCAACAAAATCTGTATTTTGAGTGCATGCAGATATTATTGTTATTATAAATAGCTCTTTTACCATTGTTACTTATCAAAGTCATGGAGAGTTACATGTAAAAAAACTTCATATCAACAAAGATAAAATATGAGAAATCTTAACATAATTTATAGCACATTTGGGAATATTTTAGTAGAAAGTCAACTTATGTTATAATAAGTCAGTGGGAAAATAATAACAAATATCTGTTTCATACAGAATATCAAATATATTTGTATGACTCATATCAGCTTATCTTAACAGAATATTTTAACTCAGAATATTTTAGCTTAGAAAGCCATGAAAAAAGTTTATAAAACCACAGCACTGTTTTCCTATTTGATGATGGTATTTTAACAAATTATTTGTAATCAAAATAATAATGCATTCTTATTATTGTTAAGTGTCTTATGTCATCTCATTTACCCTATACCATCAACCAGTAATATAAAAATAACTATTACTTCTATTTTACTGCCCAAGAAAGAAATATTTAAGTACTTTTTCAAGATCCCATAGATCTCAATAAGTGGCAGAGATATCCAAACAGGCTACTGACCATTGTGTGGCATTTGCTCTCTCAAAAGCAAAATCTTATATTGTGAACTCCATTATCATTAATTTTATTTACTTCTGAGTAGTAATCTGTTATTCCAGCCACCAAATTGACTTGAAGCCTATCTCTTGAAGCCTTAGTAAAGGTACTAAGAACATTCTTAGTAGCTTTATGTATATTTCTCATTTTTTCAACTGTTGACTTTTCTAAACAATGACATATAAATTAAGTTTATATATCTTAATTTAAAAAACATTTTTAAAGAAAGATTTTATTTATTTTTAGACAGGGGGAGGGAGGGAAAAGGTGAAGGAGAGAAACATCAATGTGTGGTTGCCTCTTGTGCGCCCCCTATTGGGGACCTGGCCCCCATCCCAGGCATGTACCCTTACTGGAGAATCGAACCAGCAACTCTTTGGTTTCCAGGCTGGCACTCAATCCACTGAGCTACTTTAGCCAGGGGTAAAACATTTTTAAAAAGATTTTATTTTTATTTTCAGAGAGAGGGGAAGAGAAGAAGAAAGGAAAGGAGAGAAATATTGATATGCGAGAGAAACATTGATCAGTTACCTCTCACCTCTCGCATGCTGCCAGCCGCGGGACCTGACCCATAACCCAGGCATGGCCCCAAATGGGAATCGAACTGGCAAGCTTTTGATTCACAGGCCAGCGCTCAGTCCACTGTGCCAAAACCAGCCAGGGCAACTCTCAATTTTTATGGACAAGTTTGTTATATGATTTTATAGATGCTTTATCAAAATTTCAGTTTTATTTTTGAGTTACTGCTCTATCACTGAGCTCTGTCAAGTAATTAATACTAATAAGATTTCTGATTAAATAGGGGAACAGCTATTTAAAGTTTTAATCATTTTCTAAAACAAATGATTTTAACTAATTACTTTTAAATTCACCAACTTGAAACAATTGGATTTTAACTAATAAAGCTTTATCAAAGTGAGATCTTGCATGTGTTTTGCATACCTTTCACCCCAAAACTTCAGTCACACATTAAAATGTTTTATTGAATTCATGTTGTTTTTATGAAGCAGAGTCAAAATTAATAGAATATAAGTTTAATACCATGTTATTAGTTAGCACTTTCCTTTAACGTATTTAAAGTCTATGCTATTAGCATGTTTTGTACTGTAATATTGTCGTATTATGCTTGCAATGTTCCCAGAAGTTTTGCCATCATTAGAGATGATTATGCAGCATTGCTGAATTATAACAGTATAAGTGCTATTTCATTGTTATGCAAAATTGACTGGTTTTTACCAGACCGTGATATTTTCTCATTTTTAACAAAGTTTTATTTTTTTGTTTTGCTTTTTTTGATATTCAGTTAGCCGTGTTATCTATTGTACCCAAATATTAAATGCCATGCTATGCAAGGACCAAAGCTGATTATAGCCCCAGGTCACCTTGTACTTGATAGAAGACTGACTCTGGTACAATTTATAAAATGTTCATTTGAATTATACACACAAAAATAAGTAAAATGCAGGCTTTCTCAAAATTATCTTGACTTCTTCTTGTCTTTTTTGTATTGTCCAAACAGTAATGATTACTAGGTTTTTGTTTTTTCTTGCAAGCCACTTGGAATTGTTTAATTGTAGAATTAGTTGTCATCTGTATTGGTCCTGCAATTGGTTGCTTAGATTCTCTTTCCTTTGACTTATGCCCTACTAGGTATTTATGTAGTTTTCTTATAATTTCTTAATCATAATGATTGTGATCAAGTTATTGTATAAAAGTACTGGTTCTGTAAAGAGTATTAAAAAGTTAAAAGAATACTATTTTTGCTATATAATGTTTGAAGATGAAGTTCCTAAAACCAGCTATTTCCATTCATTTAATGTATTCTCCATATAGTGCAACTCAGTTTAATTGAGTAGGAAGTAATCTACTTGCATGGTCTCACACTGACTCATGAGACATGGATGAAAACCTAAAAAACAATTAAATGTGTCACTAAATGTGACAAAGGAAAACATAGGATAAAATAATTTAATATAGTATAAGGAAAATTTCTGAAGCTGTAGTAATTGTGTTAGAATTTAGAATACCACTCATTTAAAAATCTTAACCTCATAACAGCCTGTGAGCTAAGTGGGATAGATTTATTACTTTTATTTTGCAGCTAAAGAATAGAAGGCTTAGTAAATTTAAGTAAAAATCATTAAGACCTTTCAGGTTTAGAGAAGGATTTTTTTAAGGCATGAAAAGCACACTCCAAAGAAGATCGATAAATATAATCTACAGAGTAATCAATGGAAAGATGGGCAAGCAATTCCCAGAAGAGGAAACTCAAATGATCAATAACATGAGAAGATGATTAGCCTCACTTGTAAACTGTGGATGCAAATTAAAATAGTGGGGAAAACAAAAAACAATAGTGGGATACAATTTGTCAAATATCACATTATCAAAAATTAAAATACTCAGCCACACTATGTGTTTTCAGAGTCCAGGTAAATGGTAATTTTCATGTTGCTGGGGAAGGTATTGGTACAATCATTCTTGGTGCCATTTGGCAGCATGTTTTTACCTGTGAGAGTGAAGAGTTAGTAACAAACTAAATGTCTGTCAGTAGGGGAGTAGATTAAGAAATGGATATGATACTGTGATGAAAATTATACAGCAGTTAAAACTAATGTACTGAATTTATTTAAGTTACAATCTCAAAAACATTAAGAGTATAGAAAGTAGTGAAAGTGATATATTACTATTTATGTGACTATAAAATCACATATATCAAGACTGTATTTTTTCATGGATATGCATGCATGCATATAAATGTATTTAAAAGATCCCAGAGTAATATATTCTAAATTCATATAAAAGTGATTTTTAGAATAGGTAAAGGGAACTTAACTGGAAGGTAGTACTTTTTTTTACAAGACAAAGGAAATATGGAAAATGTTAATTTCAGTTCTGGATGCTTAAGACATGGGCATTGTTAAATTATTCTTCCTATTTAAACTTTAAAAATTTTGTTTAAAAACAGGAAAAGAAGTTATTATAAAATAGTACTTGAAAGATCTAGTACTTAAATTTATGACCTGATTCCCAAGTCTAGAGCTTTTCAATTAATATGCTGCCTCAAAATGAGAAAGAAAAAGAAAAAAAAGATCAAAGGATAGAAAAGATAGAGAAAATGTGTTATATAGTAATAAGAATCAGTAAAATTATGTGTTTATGCTAAAAATTTTTAAGAGGAAAGGAAAGTTACAAAATAGAAATTATAACCTTACATTATTTTAAAATCTTTAAGCATGCTGTTATCATACATGTGTAAAGAGCAACTTAGGTATTTAGGAAAAGTTACCTTGATTTGTTATTTAAAATGTGGTACATATTTCTGTTGCATGTAATAGAAGACATTCGATGGCTTGATTTTTTCTAATATAAAATTTATGAAAATTAATCCAAATTTACAATCTGACTTCAAGCTAAAAGAGTCAAATTTAGCTTTTCTTCCATTTTGTAAAGTCAAGAATGACAAAAACTTTACAGCCTTTTTATTTACAGCTTCTCTCCAAGATAAAATGGCAAACCTCAAAGAGAAAACTCCAATGTGTCTGGTAAATGAGTTAGCCCGTTTCAATAGAGTCCAACCCCAGTATAAACTTCTGAAAGAAAGAGGGCCTGCTCATTCGAAGGTAAGGTTATGAAGAGAGGTGGTGAGACATGCTTATGAAAGTCTATCAGATTTATCACCTTAGATTTTAACTGTGCTTCATTTTGGGGGTAGGGGCAGCCAATGGCCTGAAGACTTTTACTTTCATATGAAAAATATTTTGAAGTTTGTAACTAGACAATTTTGTTGCTTATTACGGTTTACTAAACTCAGATAACAGTACTTCACAAAATCACATGAAATATGGATTTTTTTTCTTTTAGTAAATTAAGAAACTCAGGCACAGAACAGAAAAGTTAAGCGACTTGCTTAATAGTTCATAAATGCCTGTGCCAATGTTTGCATTGTTCTTTGACTCCCAAGTATAATGCTCTTTCCATTAAATCATAACTGCTACAGTAGAAATGCAAGTATAGCAATGGTTACATAGTGAGACATCTTTTCCATTAATTCTAAGGTTCACTATTTATAAAAGTTCTATAACCAGTATTATTATTATCCATGCATTCATTTAATTCATTCATTAACCATGCATTCATACAAGTTCTTTTAAATGGAGAGGCAACTTATATTTATGTATAGCCTTATACTTATATGTTTACATATATACATGTTACAAAGAAATCTGTAACTAATGCATTTATGTTTGAGCTCAATTCATCTGCTTTAAAAAAATCTCAGTTGTATATAAATTTCTTAAATCTTGGATATTGGAGGTTATGATAATGATTGTCAATTTTTGTATATAATGTGGAAGCAATAGATTCTGTAAAAGTTGGTTAATCTTTGTAAAGCAACTGGCCATTGGGTTATTTGTTTTCTAGCATTTCCTTTAAAGAAGGAAAATAAGATGAAATTAAAATCCATCAATTTTGTTTTCTACTAGAGGCTTTTATGAAGGATTTCTGGGCAATAATTTAGTTTGTTTATAATGTATTTTATGTAGAGAAAAAGGTTATGGCCTTGGTCTACCTGTGTAGTCATATTTCCTCTTTCACACCCATTAATTCATACCCATTTCATACTCATTCTCTTTCTGTTCTTAATCACGTGTAACTGTTTGCATTTCTTAGGATGCTTCATGTTTTTTTCACACGTCTTTGATTTGCCTTTGTAGTAGTGTCTCTCTGCCAGGAAGGTCCTTTTGCTCTTACTCATTTTTAAACATCCAGCTTACATGTCACATTTTCCAAACCTCTGTGAAACTTCTCTGATCCCTCCACTGGGCCTCCAGCAGGACCCTACAGCTTTCTCAGCTGTGCCATTCCTGTGCAATGGTATACGCTGGTCATTACTGTTGACCAACATAGACTGAGATTTTTAGACGTAATGAAGATTTATTTTCTGTATTTTATGGTTCCTCTAGTATATGTCCTGGTTGCTCCTCATTGCCAAAATCAGATATTCTTCCTGGAGACCCCCTTCTGTCTCCACTTTCATAATAGATCAACTTTGCCGCCCGCCCTCCCTGCCCCAAGCCCATTCCCCATTCTCTCATTTCGCCATTAACCTCTGAGTGATTCCATCACATTTCTCCTGGCTCACTTTCACCCTAACAGTCATCCTGTTTTAATTTTTGATGATTTTACTGTCTACGTAGATGATTGTTCCAACATGCTTACCACTTTTTTTGCACATTTCCAGATATCTTGTCTTCCACTCATTCTTGTATCACATTCTTGACCTTGTCATTACCAATAACTCAAGACCTCCATGATCTTTTACAAAAATCTCACCTGAGAGCCCTGGCTGGCATAGCTCAGTGGATTGAGTGCAGGCTGCGAACCAAAGTGTCGCAGGTTCAATTCCCAGTCAGGGTACATGCCTGGGTTGCAGGCTACAGCCCCCAGCAACCGCACATTGATGTTTCTCTCTCTCTTTCTTTCTCCCTCCCTTCCCTCTCTAAAAATAAATAAATAAAATCTTGAAAAAACACACACACAACAAACATCAATAGTTCCCCTTTGCCTATCACAGCAGACCCCAATTAAAAAAAAAATCTCACCTGAGGACATTTTTTCATTGCCAGAGAGAGAGAGAGAGAGGGAGGGAGGGAGGGAGGGAGAGAGAGAGAGCATGACTCGACAGACAGATAGACAGGTATTGATTGGTTGCCTTCTTGTAGGTGCCCCTACTGGGAAGCGAACCTACAACCTGAGTATGTGCCCTGACTGGGAATCAAACCCTCAACCTTTCAGTTATGGGGCAGTGCTCTAACCAACTAGGCCGCATCAGCCAGGGCAAGACCTCCATGATTTTTTAATGTCAAGCATTCATCTCTCTCTGACACCTCCTAACTTTCAAGTCCCAACCCTTCTAGTAGTTTGGCTTCACTAGTCCTTCCATTCCACAAATCCATTAATTATACCACCTTTTTACTATTCTGACTTCCCTCAGTCCTCACCTGGTTCTTTGTCCTGTTTGAATTCCATATGCCTTGTAGGTGCCTTCAGCTCTCTTGCCCCTCTTGGCAGCACCCCAACCTAAACCCAAATTTGTTCTTCCCTTCTGAATTACTATGAACTACCTGTAGAGTAGCCAACACCGTTATTTCTGTACTAGATCCCACCCTCTCTCACTTATTCCAGGCCATTCCTCCAGATTCTCATCCCCTCCCTTCCCTTTCTTCTATGTAATCAATTTCCCCTCCTGATGAGCCGGGTTTATAGTGGTGAAAGCAGGCCACAGAGACTCACTGTAGTCCACGTTCTTATTTGGGAAGTAGAGACCTAGCTTAGTTTATGTGCTTTCCTCTACTCCATTGAGTCTTCCAGAATCTGAACAATTTAATGGCAGCTTTCAATATGTGACTATTAAATAAAAATAATTATTTTAATGCTTGTCTTGTCCCTTTTTGTTTATCTGTTCACATTTTAATAGAACTCTAAAGTAATTTATTATACCTATGCCAATGTAAGTTATTGTGACATTGCTGTATCTCTTAGGTACTTCAACACAGCTCTTATTTTTTCTATGGATTGTTGTTTTGACTTTCTCAAATCTCAAAAGAAGGCTATTAGGTAGGGCATAAGTAAGAGACCTCACAATAACATAAAATGGTATTTTTTTTCTTTATTTCCCTGTTTTGATAAGTTGTCAGCATACATGACTAAGTGTTAAGAATGCTGTACTAAACTGACACTTTGAGAAGGTTTCCTTTGGGATAGATAATCCTGAGGGAGGCATTATCACCTGAACTCTTGAAGCAAGCAGTTTTGGTTTTTTTTTTTTAACCCCTGCTGGATTTGCCAGGCTTGATCTTTGCCCTACATCATCCAGCTTGTGTGGCCTTGGGCAACTAATTTAGAGTCTCTGTTTTCTCATCTTTAATTTGAGAAATATTGTACCTGTTCTCATGTGGTATAATGGCATAATGATTTGTAAATTTTTAGCAATTACATTGATGATGGAGGTAACTAGGTAATTTTATCATTGCTTTGAGTAGTGTATAGGACAGACACTGTTCCTGCACTGAAGCTTTCTCCTCTGCCATCTTCTCTGATGTCACTCTTAGTATATTCTGGATACAAGTCCTTTGTTAGATATGCTTGGCAAACTTTTTTTCTTAGTCTGAGCCTTCTCTTTTCTTTTTAAAGACTTTATTTATTTATTTTTATAGAGAGAGGAAGGGAAGGAAGAAAAGAGGGAGAGAAACATCCATGTGTGAAAGAAACATTGATCGGTTTGCTTCTTGCACGCTTCCAACCCAGGACCTAGCCAGCAACCTCGGCATGTGCCGTATCCAGGAATCTAACCATTGTGGGACTATGTCCAACCCATCGAGCTACACTAATCAGAACTTATCCTTTTCTTTTTTTAACAGTGTCTTTGATGAAGAACAGTTGATAATTTTTTATGAATTATGACATCTATTTGTTCTCATGTAGATTGTGTTTTTGGTGTTGAATCTGTGAAATCTTTGCATCATCAAAATCATAAGATTTATGTTATCTTCAGATGTTTTATAGTTTTAGGTTTGACATTTGATCTTAACATTTAGGTCTAATTGCCATTTTGAGTTAATTTTTGTATGTGATGTGAGATATAGAACAGGTTTATTATTTTTTTGCATACCTACAGCTTTTTAAAATGTATATTTTGTTGATTATGCAATTACTGTTTTCCCAATCTTTCCTTCTTTATCCTCCCTCCACCCTGCACATCCCCTCTTACCCACATTCCTCCCCTTTAGTTCATATCCATGGGCCATACATATAAATTCTTTGAATTCTGTTTCCTATACCATTTTTGACCTCTCCCCATCTATTTTATGCCTACCAAATATGCTTCTTATTCCCTGTACCTTTCCCCCCATTCCTCCCCTCCTCCTCCCCACTGAAAACCCTCCATGTGATGTCCATTTCTCTGATTCTGTTCCTGTTCTAGTTGTTTGCTTAGTTTTTGTTTTTCTTATTTTTTTTCAGGTTTATTTGTTGATAGTTGTGAGTTTGTCATCACTTTACTGTTCATAGTTTTTGATCTTCAGTTTCTTAGATAAGTCTCTTTAACATTTCGTATAATAAAGGCTGGTGATGAACTCCTTTAACTTGACCTTATTTGGGAAGCACTTTATCTGCCCTTCTATTCTAAATGAAAGCTTTGCTGGATAGAGTAACCTTGGATGTAGGTCCTTGCCTTTCATGACTTCAAATACTTCTTTTCAGCCCCTTCTTGCCTGTAAGGTTTCTTTTGAGAAACCAGCTGAGAGACTTATGGGCATTCCTTTGTAGGTAACTGTCTCCTTTCTCTTGCTGCTTTTCAGTTTCTTTCATTATGTTTAATCTTGGGTAACAATGATGGTGTGCCTTGGTGTTCTTCTTTAGGTCCAACTTTTTGGGGACTCTCAGGGCTTTATGGACTTCCTGGAAGTCTATTTACTTCATCAGAATGGGGAAATTTTTGCTCATATTTTGTTCAAATAAGTTTTCAATTTCTTGCTGTTGTTCTTCTCCTTTTGGCACCCCATAATTCAGATATTGGAATGTTTAAAGTTGTCCCAGAGGTCCCTAAGCTTCTCTTCAT